AATCACCTTGCATACACTGTCCGCCAACACTGCTGCAAACCCGACTTCAAGGGGTTTTTTGGGAACCATCGTAAATATGAAAACGGCACGAGAATGAGATCAAAAAAGGTTAAAAAAAGGGGGAGCGAGAGGCAGTGGGGAAAAAACAGAAAAATTGTCGGAACTTCCCAAGAGGAAAGAAAAAAGGGGTTAGATGTCGATGAACAATGAAAGGGATAAATAAAAGAGAAGCCATAGAGAGTGAAACAAAAGAAAAAAAAAGGGTTGGAAAGACGGGGCCCGGCGATCAAATAAAAGGGCCCTCTACTAACGTCCATAACCACCCCTGTATGTAGAAGGATCGTGGGGGCCCGGAAAAAATATCGGGACCATGCCCCTTTCACCCTATCGCACAAAGGAAAGTCCCTCTGAATACATCTCGCCCAGGGGGGAAAATTAAATGCCCCTAGACACAATTTAAAATTCCTGATGGTAAATTTGGAATAAACTTCGGGAGTTGCGGAAGGCCGAAGAAAATATCGGGGCCCGTCAAAAACATTTTTAGATGGGTTTTGGGGCGGGTGTGGAACGAAGGAGGGGTTCGTCTGTCATTCCCTATAAGGGAGAAAATTGGGGTTTCCAGAGCTCCGGCGATCAAACAGGAGGCCAAGAAACCTAACCGAACCTCGTTCAGGGATACAGGAACCTTTCGGTAAAAGGAAAATTTAAAGAGACAACAGAGCACTAGTATAAAAACCCTGGTGTGTGTTAGAAACCAAAAAATTTTAAACCCTTAAAAAAGGGCCCAGGGGGAAAAGCAGGGTTCGATGGGATTCTAGGAGGCCTACGGGTGACAGTCAGCCCCCAAAACAAGCTATAGCAAAATCATCAAAGAAACGCCCAAATATTAGGGGGGGAAAACAGAGACAAGATAAATTAATATCTAGTAAAATATTGGGGGGCAAAGGGCAAAACCCTTTAGAGAACCCTTTCCGGGCCGGGTTGGGAGACACATAAAAATTTAAAAAGGGACAAAAAATGTCACTGAACAAGAATTTTTTGGGGGAAAAGGGGAAGTTTTACCCCGAAGGCCTCAGGAATGAGCTTGGGCCCAAGACATTTTATTTTTCAAGTAGTCCCAATATGCTTTTTCAAATCAAAAGGGGCCCAAATAACTGGAAAGCCTCCGAGCATATGTTTTTAAAACCAGAGAAAGGGGTCAAAAAGTAAACCCGGGGCCCTTACGAAAGCCAAAGATGCTACACAAAACTTTTAAATTACCAGTCGTTTAAAGCAAGTGGCAAACTGCACTAGTAAAAAAGCAATGGGTCAAAGGGGGGAGGCATCAGGCCCCTGAATTTCCCCGGGTAAATAAAATAGAACGGCAGTTTTCCATGGACGAGGAAAAACCCCTTGCCCCAAGGAAGTTTAAAGGGAACGTAGTGGGTGTACGGGGAAGCCTTGGGAGGGTAAATGCTGAAGCATACAAATAGCCATCAGGGAAAGGCAAACCGACGTTTGGGAAAGTGAAAAGGTTGTTTTAAGTCCCCAGAGGGGTAAAAAGGGATATTAAAAAGGGAAAGTTCTATGCTAGAAACAATCTAAAAGGGGTTAACCCCCCCTGGCAGATTTGGAGGCAAGAAAAAGAGGGCGCAGATGGAAACCCCCAGAAAAAACGAACAAGATTTATTTTTTATTTTAGGCAACTTTTAAACAGGATCTTTCAGTTTTTTACATTGGGCAAAACCCCCAAGAACGGGCCGGGGCAGGAAGTACCTGCTACTCAAAATTTTCCCTATTTTTTTTTTTTAAAAACCCGCACTCAAAAAAATGGAAGGACAATAAAAAAACAATCCCCGCTTTACGGGGTTTCACGTCTGGGGGAACCGCCCTTTCTCGCTTAAAATTAAGGAGCTAAATCTGTGGTCCATTGTAACGATTATTTCCCCACACGCACACTTCAAAAGCACTGCACGAGCTCCACAGGAAACCCTCAAGATACCATTTCTGAAAGTACTAACCCCCAAGGTTTAGGGGAAATTTTATTAAAACTATGATTAAGTCAGGGGTTTTTAAAAAAATGTTTAAAAAGCTCACAAGGACAAAAGGGGAAGGCCCCCCCTCCAAACACAAACGGGTTTTACTAACGGACCAATTCCCCCTGACAAACTGCCAAACCCGATTTCGTATAAGCAAATATAAAAAAAGTTAGGATATGAAAATGATCGCTGGGAAAACGGGAAACCCCAAACCAAATAAATTATTATAATCAAATTAATTTTAATCCAAAAAGGGAACGCTTAAAACCCCCAGGGGTTTTGAGAAATTACATGCACAAGATTTACGGGAATTTTTTTCTACATGTAATTTTTGGGGAAGATTTTAAAATTTAAAACCATTATTTTTCCCCCCAAAAATTTTGTTACAAACCCTGAGGCAAAGGGGCCCGAAGTCCCAAATTGCTGGGACTCAGTCCCACTGCATACAAGGGGCTTTGGCAAGTTGCACCTTTAATAACTGGATCCATTGTACTTTTCTTAAACCCTGTTCAAATAAAAAAGAAATAAAGGGGACAGAATTTCGACCCTCCGATGCCTATTTCTCCTCAACCACACTCACACCAAGTGGCCACCTAATTACTTTTAAATTTAAGAAAACCGAAACTTGTAAATTTGAATTCGGGACATATAAATGTACGTGACTTAAATGAACAAGGTGGGTCTGTGAAGGCTTATCAACCCTGAAAGATTTTAAGCGGTCTTAACAAAGCTCGCTCCTCTCAGGAAAATTATAAAAAAGGAAAAATACAAATAAAACATG